CAGCCCTCCCCAAGTTGGCTCCCAGTCAGTTCACATTCTCCACCCATTTCTCCCTCATGCTTTGGTGTGCCCAGGATCCACCTAGGATCCACCTCAGGGCCACCTGAGTTGTCTCTGCAGGGGGAACAGGGACCTCCCGTAGGGGAACAAGGCAACCATCTGAGTACATGGCCCTCTGCACCATCCTGCCAGCGAGTCAGAGCTCCTGGGCTCAGTCCTGCTGTGCGTGGAGCCGCTGGGGAGCCTCTGAGTGTGCCACTTTGAACCCACACACCGAGTCACTTGTTCCCGAAGAGAGGATGTGGTGTCACATGCTGGTGGTTATTTGCAAGCCTGGGAATGCTAACGAGAACCTGAGCTGTGGCTTGCTGACAGGGTGGAAACGTGCCTGTGAAGGGCCTTGGCGCCTGGTGACTCATCCCTGCAGCGCTGGATGTGGAACCAGGTAGGACATTGCCTGGCAGGAGGCTTCGTCTGAGGACACAGCACATCGGCCAGTTGAAGCTGGACAGGTTTATCACAGGTGTTCCCTCCCTGGCTCTGTTTCTTCCTGTTTCTTCCAGGAGCTTTAAGGAGAGGGTAAGGCCTCTTCACTGTCAAGGGGCTGAAATAACAGTGGTCCCTGCTCAAAGTGGAGGGCATGCTCAGGGCACAGTGTGAGGGAATGTGTGTGCCTAGGAGAGGAAAGCAGGAAGCCCAGAGAAGCCAGAACTGGAGGCAGCAGAGAAAGTCTTCAGCAGCACTTGGAAAGTTGCTGGGAGCCTGGCACTGAAAGAAATGCCAGAGTCAGGGAACTTTGTCAGCCACGGCTGTGGTGTGCAGAGGGTGATCTCCTGTTTGAATCTTGAGTGTCCAGGGATCAGGACTTTTCCCTGGCCTTGACAGATAAACAGGGATCTATCAAAGACCTGGTGGTTGGTCACAGCTTCCCCTAAGAACTAAAACACCCTGCGTGGCCCCAGCCTTCATCAAGTTGTTCATGCCAGGAGTAACATCAACAACAGAGAACAAGAAACACCAAACTCTGTTTTCTTCTCAGTGCTGTAGTAGCATTAGAGAGGACATATCTTCCTCCTTCCTTTGGCCTGCAGTTCTTCAGAGAACTGCAGAGCCCCACAAGCGAGGGCTGCCTCACCTACCTGCTGCAGTAACTGGTGCCTCCTCTATAGCCCTTCCCGTACTGCGCAGTGCCAGAGAAGGGCTCCCACCTGTGGGAAGAAGACTGGCTAATGCTGACAGCCTCAAACCTCATGTATATGCAGGAGTGCCACATTTAAACAGTGAGGGATGACGGGGTGATGAGCAGATGTTTCGCACGCACATACACCAATCCCCCTATGCTGGCTTCTTCTCCGTTCCCAGAAGCAGAATGCATGGGATGGCACCACAGGCTGACGGTGTGGGACAGGATCATGAGTTTAACCCTACCCCAAAACAACTGATAGAAACAGGCTTCTGCCATGCATCTCTCTCCATCTTTAGGTGGCAATGATAAAACCCCAGAGAGTTTTGTTCTTTGCCACAGGTATCTAGCAGAAATCTTCCTGGAGTGAAGCCAAAGTGGCTGTGAGCTGGGCCACTCCACAGACATGCAAGAATGGGAGGCAGCATCTCCTGCAGCAGCAGCCATAGAGGTCCTACTGGGGTGATACCACTGTGGAGGTCTCAGAAGCAGGTGCTGAGCCTAGCTCCCTCGTTCCTGGGGCAGAACTTCACCCACAGCCCATCGCTGGGGGCAGCGTTGGTGATGTATTCAGGTGGACAATTCACTGGTGCTGACCCAGTCCCGGCATGCCAATCTGAAACATTCATTCTTCTGAAAATGAGGTTGGCTGGGAAAAGCTCAAGTGTTTCTGCTGTCTGCTAGGTGGGAGGAGGTAGGGAGAGTGATTGCAGATGGGATAAAAAGGATACTGAAAGGGAGCTGAAGAAGCAGGGAGCCTTAAGTAGCACTGCTCAAAGCTTACACATACAGAAATGCTCTGCAAGCCAGTTCGTTATTATTGTAAATGCCACTGAATGAAACCTGCTACAAGCAAATGCTGTTCATGATGCTAAACCAGAATCTTGCATCAAGTGTAAGCCAGCAGGGGACATTAAAATCAAAGTGGAACTGTATTTATATTCTGGGCATAAACTCAGCCTATGCTGCTGGAGATAATATATACCCTCCCCATCATCCACCTTCAGGGAGTTTACACCTCCCTCTGTCAGTCTGACTCCCACTTGGGCAGCGGGTACTTATAATACCATGGCATGAGCTGCAGGTTCTCTTTGAGATATGATCTTTTCCAGTCAAAGTGCCCTTTGGAGCAGGGCACTATCTCTTTAGTCTGGAATTATGGCATTCGTATTAGCAAGTCTTCTAAGGAATTCATGTTCAGAAAACATACGCTCTGCAGAAATGTTTCATGGAAATTAGATTTCAAGGGGCAAAAATAGCACAGTACTCGGAGACTGCAGAAGGTGGAGATCTTTTTCTTCCCCCATTCTCCCAGTAATTAATTTCTCCTCTGGCATACTTTGAGGAAAACACTTTCTTTCATTAATATACTGTCTACCTGTTAAGGAACATTCTTTCAATTCATTTTTTTAAGCATGTACAACTTTGATCAAGTCCTCATCATAGATCTAACAGAAGAATGTAATGCTGTTAAGCATTTTCCTTGTAGAATGCTCATCAATGTTTTGTGCACTTAATCAAATCCATGTACGTGGTAAGTAGCTTTCATCCCGGTGAAACCATTGGAATCGCTTCCAATTCTACAAGAGCCATACTTGGCTATTTCTCTGCACAATGTAAGTGGTGGTAACTCAAACTCAGATTGTATCTGACTAAAAAGTAATTCTTGTGGAAACATAATTCAGTATGCTCTAGTCCTGTTTTATAGTAGTCACTTTCCTACCACACTTTTGTCTCGGGCTAGTGAGTCTTTGCTGATTCAGACCACAAATGTTTCTGCCAACCTCTTACCTCTAGAAGAGCATAGAGAAAGACACCATTTATCTGAATGGTCCAGACATTTCATTCACATCAGAAGTCAACCGAAGCCTTAATGTCCTGTTAGCTCAGATTGAGAACCTGTTTGTGGTTCAGAGCCATCAAAAATGAATTTTATATGTGGACCTTTCTTTTAAAACTCCTCCCTATTCCTGAAGAAAACCCATTACCTCAGAGCCAGTTCCCTAGTGACACTCACGTGCAGAAATATCCTTCACTATTAAAGACCAGTTCAAGGTGTTTGGGCCTTTTTCCTTCTCAGCTTGACATAATAATAGTTGATGGCTCACCTCAGCCGCAGAGTTACATGGTAAACTGTATATATCCCACCACTTTTGTCTTGATATAACGTGGCAGGTCTGGTTTTGAAGGAAATCACAACATCCTTAACTGTAGGTTGACTTCATCTTCAAAGCTCAGCAAAAATATGATTCTTGGACCAACTCTGACTTTCGCTGTATCCTCCAAATTGTCAAGCATATGGAAGACTGAGGCAGCAGGTTGCAGATCTGCTGTACACAACCTTTTCTCCTCATAGAAGTGCATCTGGGGCCACAGTTTTCCTTCAGCTGCCACTTTTAGGATCTCAGACTTAGGAAGAGTCGCAGCTTATTGCACAGAAACCTCTCTCTGCTCAGGCACTAGGCAGAGACTTCTCCATGAACAGAGGGAAAGCAATGGATTTCAGCCACTCAAATGGATTCTTTGGGCATCTACAGCTTTTGTGTGGGTGACTTTTTTTTCTTAATGCGGAAAAATAAATAAAACCACTTGAATCCAAATGGTCCATATGAGTCACGAAGAAACCATTCTTCCTCCCCCTGAGACAGTTAGTCACCCTTTCACTACCAGAAGGCAGAATTTGGGTAGTTCTAACTGCACAGGAATGCAGATGATGAGAAATTGTTCTTAGGTATAGGAAATGATGTTTAATCATCTCATGAGATGGGCAAAATTCTTTTTCTAACTGCTGAACAGAATCACCCTTTAGAAGCAGCAAGTGCTCTATTGCAAAGGATTTGTCTTGCCAAGTGGCTTTTGTTGTACCTGTATCTCTGAAAACTGATTTGTAGGTTATATTTTGGAGAACTGTTGACATGTAGGAGATTGGTGTGCTACAGAAAGGCTACAGAAGATTACGTCACTATTTTTTTCTGTGCAGGAATGCATTTCAGAAAGTTTCTGATAACCTATAAGGAGTCTTTGTAGCATGTTCATACTTGTGAGTATGGGAATCCTGTCCAAGTCCTGCATTTTCATTGACTCTTGCACTGAAGAAACTATTCAACACTTGCATCTCAGCTTCCCAGCTATGGAATGGGAATTGCAAGGGGAATTACAGCTGTCCTGTGCTACAGTCTTATTCTGTGGCTGAATTAGTCAGTATTTGGAAATCACTTTCAAGCAATAAAATGCTACATTTTTAATAGTAAAGTTGCCCTTTTCCCCAGGAGTCCTATTCAAAACCTCTCAACCTTGACAATAAATGGAAATTGAAATCTTTTGCGTTCTCAAATGAATGCATTATTTTAATTTTTTTGTAGGGATAAGATTTTGTGCAGAAGGTGATTTTGAATATTTAGCAACATAAATTTAGCTAAACCTTTTTGCTTCTGTAACTATAATTTTTAATGCAATTCTCTTAGTATTTTAGATTGAAAATGAGGAAATATCCTTTGGCTCCAGTCCAAAGTTGCCTCTTTTTTTTTTTTTTTTTGGATATCTTTTCAAAAGATAAAGGTCTAATTTTCCCTTCCCTGGTGCACTTTATAGTCATTTACACATGTGAAATGCTATTATTCTCTCCTGGAAACATACACCAAAATGCAAATTACTCTGCAAGAGGAGCCTAGCATCAAACTCAAGGACTCCAGAGGATAAGGGCAAATGAGCAGCCTGCCATGAACAGCCTAGAGAGTCAACTTAAAGCCTGTCACCTACGTTATGGTCATAATTCATGTTCACAACCTTACCCTACGGCAAAAGAAAGGTGCCTTACCTGTGGAAGGAAAGTGGAGTAAATACCTCACGTTCACCACAGCACATAAATGATTGTAAAAGCACTTCTGATCTTATCACTTGGCAACTCTTCTGTTGGGTCCGTACCCTCAGACCAACCCATGGCAAATGTCCTCCAAATATAAACTGCATCTCGCTGTGTACACTCACTGCGCGCGTTGCCTTGCCTCTATCACAAATCAAACAGCGGCTGGCAGCCTGTTTAGCAGGACGGGTTACTGAGCACACTTCAGCTGTGAGCAGAGCCAAGGGCGTGCTAAAAACAGCCTCGTGCTGCTCGTCCTTGCTCCCAGTTGCAGACTGTGCCTGTGCCGGCCTGCGGAGCTGTGTGCCAGGCTCAAGGAGCTCAAATGGCTTGGGTTTGGCCCAAGCTTTCACAGCTCCTGACTACAGCTCACTTCCCCTTGAGTGCTGCTCTGGTTAAAAACCCGCACCTGGGGTTGAAGGGCTGCAGGGATCTGGGCAGTCAGTCAGTCAGGGTGGGCTTTATTTTCCTTTTAAAGCAGACAGTAATCCCCCAGCCCTGTGCCGTGCAGGGCTGTTGGCAAACATCAGCCATACGGCCTCGTCTGCTGGCTGGCCCCATGTACTGCTCTCTTGGCCTGGGGGAGAGGATAGACCTGAAGAAGCAATTTGGCTTGAAAATGAGAAACGGGCAAAGCAGCTGGCAAACCTGGCCTCTGAAAAAGAGATATGGAGAGAGAACAGGAAAGCAATTACTTCAGAAAGCCAGGTTAGTCCTTACTCCAAATTAGTTGAGCTGCTTGGAAAAAAAAACCCTACAGATAAACCTTTTTGTAGCTCAGCTGATGCCTTTGCTAAAGGTGCTCTGCTACCAGTGAAGCAGCAATTTCCTATGGACGTGCTTCATTAGGTTTCAGATCCAGAATCTGTGGCTCAGTGGCTGTTTTGTCCAAGCATGAGGCAACCCTACCGATATTTATGAGATCTTGGAAAGCTTTGGTGGGAAAGACACCCCAATCTGGAGGAGGCCACATTTCCACTTACTGAAATCCTCCTTGAAGTGGTACAACCCTCCATTGATCAGCCATTTCAGAACCTGGACCAAACAAAGCCTGGCCCTAGAGATAGGGACAAAGAGATCGAGGTCTGTAAAGGTATCCAGGTGCCTACATGATTGTCAGACTCCCCAGGTGACACAGCTAAGTGCCTGTGCTTCTTCCTGAAGGCTGTGAAAGTTATGGGTAGGTACTCAACAGCTTTCAGGGTCAGGCTTATGATCCTCATTCGAGCAGTGGTTGTGGTATCTAGGGCGAATTAATATACGTATCGTAAATGGACTTGGTCTCTTCTTGAAGCAGAGAAGTATTTTTGTGATGTGGCTCATTGCCAGCGTTCCTCAGAAAGTCACATATGCAATTTTTCATCTATACGTTGATAAAACACTATAATTAGTTTCTGAAATATTTCTAAATCTCCTTTTGCAGTAGTTAACCCCTATTTCCTAAGAAAAAGAAAATAAAAAAATTACTTTTTCCTTGAAGTCCCAAGCAAGTAGCTTATTTCACCATCCCAGGGGCTGTGATATGTGATCAGGCACCAAAAGCTACGTGCCTCCTCCTCCTCTCGGGGCACTCATGTGAAAAGTCAGCTGAAGGGGCTCTGTCAGTTGATTTTCTCACTTGCTTCATGGTTTTCATTTCTGATTTTAATGTTGTGTTAGAATATTTTTTTTTTTTTACATTTGATGTTAATGTCTCTGGATGATTTCTGATCACTCAAGATTAATAACAACATCCTGCCCCTTGATATCTGATTTGGGTTTATCAAATTATGTCCAGTCCATTCTGGCAACTGCCCAAATTAGCCAGTCACCCTAATTTGTTGCTAGTCCTGTCCATCTCTCAAAGAGCAAATTAAAACAGGACTGTCTCATATGTCAATTAAGGTCTTATATCTTTCCTTCCATCCCTTTCTTTATTGATGGGCTCTATTTTTTTCCCCTTTCTTTGTTGTGATCACGGAGGCCTCTAGATTTACAACTCTTAAAGTCAAAGTACTTTATCTACAGATCAAGAGCAGCAAAGAGAGCAGCAGTTTTCAGATTATCCTGCCCATCCATCTCAGTCCTGGAGGGGGCCAATTTATGAAATGAGAATTGGACATTCTCAGTGTCTGCTTCATCTTCTGCTGAAACTGCAGACGGGGAACAAATCACTGGCTATTTCAGGGTCTAAGGGTGGCAGAATGAAGACCTGGGCTTCGAAAAAGCAGATTTCAGCAATTTCAGAAGGCAGTTAGGCAGAGCCTCTTGGGAAGAAATTCTAAGGGAAGAAGTGCAGGGAGCTGGTGGCTATATTACAAGCAAATCAGCCACTTGTCTCAGTGCAGAGGAGCAATAGAGTTTACAGTGAAACCCATATAGCTGCATCAGGAGCACTACATTACTGGAAATCCAAAAAAGGAGCCTCACAAAGAGTAAAAACAAGGCAACAAGGCAATATAACCAGTTTTTCTGAATGCATAAGGAGCAGAAGCAAGGCAAAGGGAGATGCAGCTCCACTGCTTAATGGACGCAGAGAACAAATAAAGCATGACAAAGAGATGTTTGAAGTATTCAACGCTTTTTTGGTTGAATCTTCATTAGAAAAGAAATCTCCATGAAGCAGCATTGAAGTGATTGAAAAAAGGCAGTGGCTGGTGTGCGATGGTCTCCCGTCAAATTGGGAAGGCATTTCGCTTTGGGTTCTACAGGAGAATTTTTTCCTTGGGACTATTTCTGTTCACTGTCTTCATTATCAGGCTGGATGATGGAAAAGACTTCATGCGCAGTAGACACCAAGCTGGGATGGAGCTATAATGAGTTTGGAGGGCATAATCAGAGAAGGAGCGTTCTTGGTGAGCTGGAGAATTGATCTGGGCCCAGCGAGATGGAATTATTTTGGGACAAAATGGAAGTATTACGCATAGAAATCAAATGTGTACATCCAGATCGCACAAAAAACTGCTGAGACAGCAGTACCAGAGAAAGGGAGCTGGGGTCTCGGCGCACCACAAATCAAGTGAGCCAGTAACATGCTGGTGTTGTGGAACGGGTGAATCTTCAGGGAGGAGGTGTTAGCAGGCAGGCAGTGTGAGAGCTACTTATGCCACTCTACCCGGCGCTGCTGACATCCCACTTGATCCACATTTGGGTGGTCTGGACGCCATGTAGAACTTCTTTATTTGTCTAGAAGGAAGATAGCGGAGGGGAATCACAAACCTTTCAATATAAAGAGAGCTGCTTTTTACTTTCCTCCTTGCCTCCTGCAGGTAGGATGAGGAATAATTGGTATAATTTATAGCAGCATATCCTTAGGTAGGTGTAACAAAAGCCTGTAGGAGAGCTGTGAGCCCTGGAGGGGGCAAGGAAGGATACTGCAGCATTGTCTTCACTGAAAGCTTTTCAGAGCAGACAAGAGGATGTAGGCAAGCCAAGCACCTCTCAGGATCCCTCTGATCTCCTTTGTGAGACAGGCTGTGGGACTGGGAAGAGATTCGGGGACACTGTGTGGTCCATTCCTTCTCCCCAGATCATGCCTGACTACAAAGTTTTTGTGTGTTTCAGGAAACAAGACAACAGCGCTTAAAATAGCCCCACAAAATAGGAAATAATGCTTTCCATTTCTGTGACTGACTGTGGGGTTATGTGCGGTATGTTTTACAGCAGTCAGCAGCTCTGTAGGTCACTGATTTGTTCATATTAACCTGCCTGCCAGGAGTTAAATCAAAAGAGACAGAGGAGGAAGAGTCAAGCTGGGATAAAACCGCATCCAAGGGAAAGCTGTTTGCAGGGACAAGGTGGTGCCTTCCCCCTGCTTCCCTGCCTCACCTCCCACAGGGCTGGAAGCCCAGGCTCCGAAACCAGGAGGAGGTTGGTTTTGGACAAGAAGAGGGTGCAAGCGACCTGCCTGCTGGATGCAGGCAGCACACTGTCCAAGGCCAAACCTCCGTGCCTTTATTCCTTGTGGGAGGCGAGCGAAGGCCTGGGGGTGAATGCACGGCTCCAAGGGCTGCAGGTCTGACCCCTGGCAGACACCTCGGGAGCTGCCAGGAGGTGATGTACAATTACAGAGTGGTTTGTCCTGTTTCTCATGGTCTGTGCTTGAAAAGAAAACAGGCTTTGTCCTAACGTACTGGGACGTATGTTGCCCCAGAATGAACTACTCAAACAGGACAAGACCTGGAGAAAAGTCCCAGGGAAACTTGAGCATGAATATTCAGCTCGGGAGAACGAGCTTCTCAATTTATCCCCACCTTGCTGGAGTTGTTCCCATAAAATAATCATCGCTTTTGAAGTCAGTCCTACTCTTCCCCCGTGCCTGACGGGCTGCTCCCCCAGCTCCGCGTGCGTGCACCGGCTGGCTCTTTCCCAAGTGCTGCTCGGTGAAGAGACGCCTGCGTGCCTACCTGCTGCAAACTATTTACATTTCCCTTTCATTGGCAATAAATTAGCTCTGCAGAGGAGGGCTGAGCAACAGTTGTTCTGAGCAGGGAGGGAGCCTGGGTTCTGCGACAGCGTTTGAACAGCCAGCCCTTATCATCTCCAGCGTACGAGTGCAGGGAGCTTGCTGATGCAAACCAACACCAAGTGAGCCGTGTTTGCCAGCAGAGCAGCTTCCCATGTGAAAACCCTGATTCTTCTTGACAAGGCCAAGGCAAGGCAAAGCCAAGGCAAGGACAGAGCCTTTTTTTTTCTTTTGTTTTTTTCTTCTCCCCCCAAAACCAGCTGTTATTGGAATAAGTAATTCTGCAGACCTGCCTTTCACATCTCACTCACTTTATGTGCCTTCTAATTAATTTCGTCGGGGAAAATAATTGGCTCGGATCTGGTCGATCCGACTGAAGTTCTAAATAACTTTGGTTGAGTGGTATTTATATTTCAGCAACTAGTCTTGGGTGAAACGCTCGCATGCTCGGAATACTAAAGCCTGTGCTAACGTGGCATAAAAATAGCGCCGTGGTCCATCGAGTGGCATTAAGTCCCCTCTATAAAAAGACGTACGGCTGCCTCCGAAATGCAGCTGTCTCGGGGGCTGGGGGGGAGCAGACCAACCCGTGTCAGTGCGCAGTGGTGGGCAGCATGGACACACTATCTATTAGCAGCAAGGTGGGGTGAAATGACTCTCAGCTGGGGAGGAGTGATAGGAATTGCCCTGTGGAGACAGATTGGGAATGCAGGAGCTGGTGGGGAAAGATTTTGAGGATGTGGTCACGTTGGGACAGTGCAGGGGCAAGGATCAGGCAGGGAGAGGGAAGGACAAGGACAGCAGTGGGAGATCTGGTGCATGGGAGGAGAGAAGAGGCAGCACAGGCAACAAAAAAGCTGAGATTGCCCTCGCCTGAGGGACAGACCTGGTCAGACATGGGCCCAGGTGCT